CATGTGCAGATTTCCATTAGAAAATAACCCTATTTATATGCGAGGGTGGATGGTATAACATTTCAAAGATTTCTACAAGTATGATTCAACATAACACCACACCTGCGAGAAGTTTTCCCTTACACTCATTATTTACAAATTGTTTTCAGGAAAGTAGTGCGGGTGTTTCTTTGAAGTAAAGTTATGTGCCGGCCCCTCGTAAAGGCCTCCAATTGAAGGGAAGCCGCGTCTTAGCACGGAGGTGCTTCTCCCTAATAAAACAATTCCCACCTTTCGTCGTGAACCGCCGAGAGACCATTAGCCGACGCAATGTAAATACCCGATTTGAAATTAGACCCGTAATGCTATGTTGTCCATTGTACGTATGGGGTTTAAGTCTTATCAGCCCAACTTACATACCCTCAGAAACTTATAAACTGTCATTGCACTTCCATATAACGTATTTTAGACAAAACTTATGTCCTCGTGAGAGACCGCGACCTAAATTCGACGCTCATATAATCTTGGTTAAGAGCAAGTTTCAGCACGCACTGTTGTGACGTTTTGAGGGGAGCTTATGACCATCACGTGGTGTGATCGACTTTTCTCGCCATAGCTCGAATTTAAAGGACATTTTCGAAAACCCGGAACGGAATAAGATTATAATGGCATAAAGTCGTATTTACATTCGTGTAATTAACAATTTTGTAAAAGGGCGCAAGACAATTTCTAGAGAGAGCGTAAATTGAGAATAATGTGATTAAGTGCCTCGTTCATAAATGTGTGGGGTTTACAAAGAATTCTAAAAAAAACAACAGTTTCTTCCATTTGTCTCCTTTTTTTTCATTCTGCCTTTTCCGATGTGGATTTATGTTGTTTTTTTTAATAAAAAACGTGGAACATGTGGAACACCATATCCACACTGAAAAAATACTGACAGGAACATAACTCAAGCAGCTATCTTAGTTGTGTCGAGATTAACCATTTTCTTAAATCGTGTGAGTAATATTTCATGTTTCGTGTTTGTTTCCTACCCTGCTGAGCTCCTATTTTGATATAACCTCCTTGAGGTAAATGGTAAAATATGGCTTGGGACAAATAAGGAACGAGAATGATTTAAATGAGAAATCGGGTAGGTCTAAAACCGAACCCCTCCTGAGCAGACCGGAACATTTCTAAAGCCGCGTGGGTAGACAATGTAATATTACCAGAAACAGAATATCCCGAAGTAGTTCAATTATACACCGCTTGGCGCGATACACTTTACCCAACAGAGAAACGCGAGAGAGATCCCGCGACACCTACGATAATTTACGAGAACACCGTGCCGAGCTTGCTTCCTACGCTGTGAGGAGCTGTAAAGAGCTGTTTGCGTGTGGTACTAGCTTGCAGAAGACTACAGTCAGATGGCGAAGCTTTTTACGCTGTGAGAAAACATGTTAAAAGAACACATTTATTCCTTGTTTACAATTTTTTACCGACTTTCTAAGCATCTTCTAGCTTTGATCTTTCGGCAAATTTGTTTTTCTACTGTGATATATGGGCGCAGCTTCCAGCGAGATATTTTCAGTTGCTCCGAATTTCCAAAAAGCTATTGTTGTTTCTCCTCTTTATGCAATACGTTCCCAGCCAATATGATCCGACAATTTCATAATTTTGTCTGTTAATCTCTTCAAAAGGCCAGCGAACGCTAATTACCAGCCCAATTGCACAGCCGCGTATCGTATTCAGCTTACAATTGCAAGTATTCTGGCGAACATATTCCTTGTTTTCTCATAATAGATGCAAAATGTGATAATAAATTCGGGTTCGCTTGGAAGCAAATATAACAGGGCATTTCATCAAAGAACATTTTACAGTATCGGGCATAGCAGTCAACGTTGTGCGGTTATGAAGATATTCGTTATATACCCCCAATAAACCAAAGACACTTTCATCGGTCACAATCGCGATGACATGAAAAACATACTCCGACTTTTCTTAAAGCACATCGCCCATATAACACATAACATACGAGACAGCCAAAGTCTGAACGACATTACTGTTAAGTGTGCATGCATTCATCGAATTCTTGATATGTCAAACATGGTTAAAACGACATGTATGCTCTTATCGAAGCTACCGAACTTACCTGTGTTACTGCTGTAAAAATCATTGGCCATGGATCGTCGCCAATGGGACGTGCTACGCAGGATTTCTCAATTTAGCAAATGAAACTTTTTTCAGATAGTTTTTTTTTCAGATGGTTTGTGTCGAGACACATATGTGTGATAATCACAATAAGGTTTTCGTGAACTTTTTATACACATTTATAATTAACATACTTCCGAATCAATGTATAGGATCATATCAGTAATGATATATTTAAAAAAAGCATTATGTTGCTTTTGTTAAAGGCTGATTTAAAAAAGATCGCGATAATTGTTGCTGTTATCAGTATAAATGCTATTTTAGAACGATATATTTGTTGCGTGAGTACATTTTCTGACAAGTATATCGGTTTTAGAAATTTTGTTCATAGATGTTCCCGATGACAATAATTATTAAATGTGTATAAACTACAACAACATGTTTATAGTAAACACCATGGGCATGGACACACTTATTTTTAAAACACTGTTTACTTTCTTTATTAATTAATGTGAAACACAGAGAACCAAATTTGTTTCATTTACAATAATTAATCGACGTATGTCAAAACCAGTAATATGGTTGGTTATCATAGGAAACATGTTTCGTTATAAATTAGAAATACATGTGATGAAGAAACAAAATAATCGTGACAGCAGGAAAATATATTTTCACTTACCCCTAGTCTTATTTCGCATTAGCCTGGAAGGGAGATAACTCTAATTAAGACTTACGTAACAACATCAATTATTTCACAGCAAAAACTCAAACTGGAACATGTCACGAACGGTGAAATATTGCTTCTTAATGTAATCCTTTTGAAAAGGCCAGCTTTCAGCCCCAATAAAAATTGGTTAATGTAACAAGTAAATTGGCACACATGTTCAGGTGCTGTGCACTGCCTTTGAACATACACATTATTTAAAAAACACACGTTTTTTTTCACATTTGCATCGAGTTGTTAATATAAAAGAATACTACTTTTCCAAAAACAAATATTAAATTTTAAGGGTGTTCGTTAAATATATAATTCAGCTTTCTAACAACGAGTTGTATTATGGACATGCGCAGTTCAGTTGATTGATTTTACACCTGCCAACATTGAAATAGGTTTGTATTTTGTTCCCTCAAGATCAAAGCACTGATGTCGAATAAATCCTCCCGGAAAAACAAAAAGAGAAATCGGCGTGATATAAAAACGGAAAACTGTCTTGTTAACTGATGTGAAAAACTCTAAAATGCATTAGCATTCTACAATGACAAATGTTTTTCCTAAGACATTCAATCTACTGCACGAAATCACTGATTACTTGGTATGGTCCGAATATCGATGTGACAATGGCGTGTGGTGGTGACGATCCGTCTAATGTGTGGAGGTTTATAATCCCTTGTAGATCACCTACATTTCCTATTTTAATCACAGGGAGGTGCTTTGAATATTCTCCCCCTGTCGAGAGGAACAAAATTCCGAATACGAAAGATCCTTTGAAGCGAACGGGAGAACTTTTCTCTAGTAATATTTCCGTCAGCGCTGCTACAGAATGGCGGCCGTTCCTTTGCTAATAGACGGGTAGAATCATTCACCGCGATGAATGATTTTCACTCTAAATGAGAAAACCGCACCGAGATCATAAAATAATATGAAGTTGTGCTTTTGCGGCAGTTTGCTCAATGCTTAAAACGTGTCCACATGAGGCGAAGAATCTAAGCGTGCGGCGAAACGCTTGGCTTAATTTTGAAAAAGAACCTTTGTAAAATTGCTCTATCGTCCTTTTGCCCTCACCATGGGAAATATCCCTCATTGTGAAATTTGTTTACATCAGATTTATTTATGCAAGCTTAAAGGCTATAAAGTTATATTTTTATTGTGTTTAATGGTATTTGAAGAATATATCAAAGGGACAAGAGAGATGTGAGCTATTGATGTTTGCTCATGTTTGTATAGAAATGTCTTTGATATTTTTCACTGATGTTTTGTCAAAAGTGTTATTATTGGTGTATAGGAATAAGTTCGTAAGACACTTTAAGAAGAAGAAGAAGAAGAAGAAGAAGAAGAAGTAATGATCATTACCCGCACGGGAGCGATCGTATGTAGGCTACAAGGTTTAAACCATACACGTGTTAACTTTATAAAAAATAATAACATTTTAATACCGGGGTTTTGACAGATTGACAAACCACGTAATCAACCATGGACGTGATACTTGATTAGTTGATATTTCATGATAAAATGGGACACCTCAACGATTCCCTGAGTTTATAATTGAGAGTTACGCGTGATCAGATCATCAGGGATACACGACAATGAACGTTTTCTGGTCCTTTTGAACTGAGAATGGTAATTTCTGATCGACTTAATTAACATGAACACTGACTATTGGCTTGAAATGTCAACCAAACCCGCGTTTAATCAGTAATCTCTTTCCACCACCTTAACCCTATCGTTATTCATAAAACTCTTTAAACAAACGACCACAACGAACAATCTAAACACCTTGGTGTTTTTCTAAGCTCGGTGTCATTAATATTATGATTGCAGAGCGTCGAATATGTCAGTATAAATTTATCCGGTGAAAGCTAACGAAGAAAACGATAGCACTCCTTAAAATACATTATGCCACACAAGACTACCGTCAATACAAGAGATTAAGGGATGGCTCAGTTGATACTGTTTTGCTATTTTAGAAATAAGGTAATTTCTATGCTGAATGTGTGCGCGGATTGTCTAAGGTGTTTGACTGGTAAGAGAATAGGTCAAATGTCACCACAGAAGCTATCGAGATAGTTCTAGAATGATAATCTGCCTCACCCGTAGCTGACGGCCTCAAGAACTTGATAACTACCTTTTCTGAAAAGACGAGTAGTCATCGGCGACATCAAAGGTTTCTTACCTGTAAGCTTATACTGCCTAGTCTTTTTAAGTCCAGGTGTTGGCGGAGGCATATGTCATGGTGAATCGTATTTCTCCAGGTAGTATCGTTGCCACAGAGAACATCCAAAGTAGAAGTTGATTAAACATGGGCAAGTCCTTGTTCTAAGTCTACACTGCTTTGATCTCCCCAGTTAACTAATGCAGGCCTGAGCTGGAAACCCTATTGTAAGAACGAAAGGTATAAAAGCATGTTTATTACAATGTTATAACCGAGCAAACTCAAGCGATTCGCAAACGGAATGAGAGACATATAAAACTAGAAAGTGGGGATTTTCAAATGAACGCTGTTATTCCTCCGCATCTGTGGGAAAAGGGGCGGAGGAATAAAAACCTGCAATACTGCTGCCATAATATTCAAGCCAAGGGTATTAAAAAGCCCTTGTAAGCTTACAGGCCATTCATTCCCACTAGCCGTCCGCAAAAAAGACAATTGAAAGTTACTTTAATTGTACATCTTGCATCGACATATAAGCCGACACAAGATTTTTATGCACATTTTATAGCAAGTGAGATCGTTTGAGCTCGCAGGATAGCCGGTAAAGGGGGCATAGAAGCGAGTTCAAAGTGTGGGGTCCCAACTTGCTCCTAGGGTCGACCCCTCCCCCCAGCCAGGAGCGACTGGTTTGCGTCATCTTGAAATTGGCAAAATTCTGACATTCATTTTCGTTTTAAATTCTCCCCCCCATGGGAGAACGACATCACGTGATTACGCCCGATGTAAAAAAGTTATGACCGTCTAGCGTAATGGTTACTATGGAAACGAAAATAATGTTGACCTTCCCAGGTTTTTTTGTGTCTTTGGCCCGGCTTTAGAGTAAAGAGATGATTAAAGGAAAGGAATATTACATTATTTTCAAAGGCATTCTCTTAATATTATGGCCACGGGTCGACCCGGACTCCAATGATATCCAACTTGGCCACCACCAATTTCAATATCACCGGGTGATGAAAACAAAAATCTGCTTATAAAGTGTGAATCTGGGCAAATCGTAAAATCCTGATTGTAAAATTTTTATAGCTTTTTGTGATTTCCTTAACAAAGAGATAAGTCGCCCTTAGCCTGGCTCATGTTGAGTCCGCATGGTGGAAAGAATAGCCATAAAATGTGACCTTCGCACAATCAGAGCTCTCGCATCTTTACACAAGCTAATGAAATACACACCATTTAAAGCTACATTTCCACAACTTTTTTAAAAATCATTTGTTCGCACAAGTATTTCTTTCACGTTTGATTGTAATCAAATCGACAATCAGACAATTAGCGATCACAGCCGAACATCCCAGCAACTTAAAATTGCTGGCATAAAATTTAAATTGTATCTTGAAAAAAATGTTAGGTATCATTAAAGTAATGAGAGTTGAAATTTACAGACATTATTTTTTGTTAGATACAATGTTGTACGTGTCTGAAATTTATATGGTTCTAAAACGTAATGGAGGTCGTCCACTTTTATTCCAGTATCAGTTTTACACAAAAGCAGAAAAAAACATTTTTCGATGAAACCAGATAATCGTTTAGAAACAACTTTAAAAATGACACCGCCAGTTTCAATGCAAAGGCATGATAACCATCTTATGTTATTTGAGAAAATGTGAAGTTTATGATTATCATTTATTGTTTCATTTCATTTTGCGACTGAACAACATGTTTTGAGATACTATTCGAAAATTATTTATTTTATAGATATTGTTTTCAAGGATATTCATTAAAATAAACCTACGTTTAGTCCTGCATCAGGACCGTGGATTATATTTAATTTATGAAAACAAAACCAATCTAGATAGATGTAAAAGCAAGTCTAGGCAGCTCTAGCCAGATGAAATCAGAATCAGGATTTTTTTGTCTTTATTTTGGAGGAGAGAAATGTATTGTGTAATGAAAGATTCCATAGACTATGTGTTATTCTAACCTACGTCTTGTACTTGCTTGTAGGTTTGAATCTCACTCAAAAGCATTTGTTTACACAGTGTTTAGGTATAATTGGTAATACACTCTGGCCCCAAACGAGCATACATACTAAGTTATAAATGTGATTACTGAATGAGTAAATCCGTTACATCAATATCTATATAGATGTACTAATGAAATATCTCAAGCAGAGATAGTAAAAGTCAAATTTGAAAAAAGAGTCGGTTGAAACGAAATTCATGTTAATCGAGAACAAGTTTCTGTTCGGGCAAATAATGAAATTCGGATGTAAAGAATTAATTTAATCTCCACAAGGATCAGGTGTTGACTGTAACGAGAGTTGTATTTTAAGAATCTAAATGAAGAAACACAGTTTTTTATTTCATTACAAAAAAGTGATCCATGTTTTAGTATTTTACGGTTCATATCTTCAATAAAACGTACGATTTTGTACATGTGAATGAATGGTCTTAACTTAATTCTATATAATTCAGCTCACGATTCTTAAAAAAGCTGCATGCACATAATGTTCTCTTTAAAAAGCGTAATTGTACATTCATACCGGCATTGTACCCGCACTTGGTTTTATTTATAAATACCGGATACTACACGACAAACGTTATTATTTTTCTGACAAAAGACCACAGGTAGAATATCTGCTTTGCATTAGAAAACCCCAATTAGGAATCTGCATTGAGATCTTACCTTTGTGCTATTCACACAATCAATTAAGACTGTTGTAAATGCAGAATGTAACGGGAACCATCTTATGTCTCCGAGTACAGTGAACAGTCCAAAAGTATGTTCATTTCATGAAATAAATGGTTGGAGCAATTACTTGGAGCATTTATCGCAAAAGAATATGTTTGTGTCTTAAAGTATGAAAACATTTGACAATTGTTAGGAGCAATTGACAAGAACATTCTTTATCGTCTTCAATAAAATGCACAATAGAAGAAAGGAGCCAATCCTATTTTTCTAATTCTCTTTATCAAAACACTTTGCAACGAACTGACAAAAAACTTTTAAGTGTTATGTAGAAATAGATTATAGCTTTGACGTGATGCAATTTTACCTGTTAATTAAAATTGCAACATCGTCTATTCAATAAATGCAAAAATAAACGGTTAATCGGAAATAGCATTTTCATGTATTTGTAAATTTTGTAATTGCTCAGAGACGTAAGATTGATGAAAAACACAAGTCCTCATTTAACAGCCCTTGGAGTATTTGGTGACATGTGTAACAGCATATTTGGCGATGCATCCATTGCTACACATCGTTGGTGAATGGTATGGTCTCGATAAGGAGCAAAGCATTTCACCCTTAATGACAGACAACATATAACGTCTTAATTTCATATGCACCATTTTCTACATTTTTGTCTTCGTAAATGAACACAAACATTCTGTACTTCATCTGTCATTTCTGATTTATGATATGTATTTGGAAGCAAGGCAGTACATCAATATGTACAAAATGCCCCATTTTGCAAAGAGTTTTCCTTTGATAATATGTGGCAATCCTTGTTTGCTTTCGGTAAACCATCAATAACAGTGAAAATTAAGGTAAAATAGTCAACATCCACCAGTCCCAACACACACACACACACACACACACACACACACACACACACACACACACACACACACACACACACACACACACACACACACACACACAACACACACACACACACACACACACACAGAGAGAGAGACACAGAGAGAGAGAGAGAGAGAGAGAGAGAGAGAGAGACACACACACACACTAACACACACACTAACACCCACACACTAACACCCACACCCACACACTTACACACACTAACACATACACATACACCCCCACCACCAAGTTTACTACAAATGTAAAATATGCCTATGTAATATATCAAATGCATTTATACATTCATATCAACTATTTATATATACCCTCTCTAAATATTTGTTTTACTCAGACTAAACACTGCAAAATGTGTTAATATACTTATTCAAATATGGTTTGTTTGTACACTGTATGCATGTTAACATCATAACAGATGCGTATGTTGGATATTGTATCCTATATTAATCTGACACTTTCAAAAACCTGTTCGGATAACGTTCCTTGTCTCACGATACACGGAAGACGTACATACCATATTATCATTATCAAGCAATGGGCGCAATTAAAACAATGTACACAATAAAACATATGCAATTGATATTTAAGCATGTGCATAGATACCTTGAAAGACCGCTAAGAAGATGATTCTTACAAATGCAAGACTTGCAATGCACCTGGTGGTGGGTCGAGTAGATTCTTCCAAAAGTAATTTGGTGATAGCACAAGAAAGTGAATACTCTAACTTTCGACATATTATTATGTGTAAATGTTTCATTGACCTATCTGTTCTCCTTGCTAAACACCGTGCACCCACAATTCTTAAACAAACTCACCTGTAGCAGATTTACTCAAGAGAGCGTTTAAGTAAATTCTCAATGCATGGGCGCTGTCAAATATATCGCTGCCTACTTCTCAAAGTTAATGTCCAGACTTTTACAAGGATGCATTGCAGACTATCATTTAGAAACCAGATAATTTCCCACCCAAATGTTATCATAACACCTGTTGCCTGGGATTAGTACACAAAATTAAAATCAAATTTAGCTTTTAAGTCTCAGTTTCCAAATTAATCCATACTAAATGGCACCCGGCATATATCGTACGTACAATACAATAGGGACTATATATCATGGGTATACGATATCTCCCTCATTCGAGAAGATAGAGAATATCCTCGACCGTGACTCATAGGCCTCATACAGGGATCGTGGACGGGTGTGATACATCCCTGGCGATCACTCAGCTACGTAGGTGTGCTCCATATATCATTGTGGATCCTCAGATTGCTAATCTTCAATGGGTGGTCGCTTAGATTTCACGAGTGATCTTAGCCATAGAAATACCATAGCTCATCCTCACTACACCTAGTTCTCAATGTGACACTAGGCCTTATAATGAGATGATAGCCAGCTAGACCATTATAGTGACGTTCCCAGCATGCTTTTCGCATTTTTTTCGGTTTGTAGACATAACCTAAATGCCACCCGATACTTAAACACAACTCTGGCTGGTCATAGTGAAACCATTAGGATTTTCATGACTGTTCATAGTGAAAAAACTTTTTTGTAATATAATGCATTTTGTCACACTGGCCAGTCACATATATAAAAAAATGTCTGGAAGTACACGATGTATTCCCAACTCCATCAGGATTTACATGGTGTATTCCGGTACTCAGGCCAGTCAGGGCTATACCATCAGGATGTACACGATGCATTCCGTCACCCTAGACGGTCATGCTAAAATCGTTGGGATGTATTCCGTCCCTCTGGCCAGTCCTGATAGAACCATCGGGGATTTACATGATGTATTCCGTCACTCTGGCCAGTCCTGATAGAACCATCGGGGATTTACATGATGTATTCCGTCACTCTGGCCAGTCCTGATAGAACCATCGGGGATTTACATGATGTATTCCGTCACTCTGGCCAGTCCTGATAGAACCATCGGGGATTTACATGATGTATTCCGTCACTCTGGCCAGTCCTGATAGAACCATCGGGGATTTACATGATGTATTCCGTCCCTCTGGCCAGTCATGATAAAACCATCGGGGATTTACATGATGTATTCCGTCACTCTGGCCAGTCCTGATAGAACCATCGGGGATTTACATGATGTATTCCGTCACTCTGGCCAGTCCTGATAAAACCATCGGGGATTTACATGATGTATTCCGTCCCTCTTGCCAGTCATGATAAAACCATCGGGGATTTACATGATGTATTCCGTCACTCTGGCCAGTCCTGATATAACCATCGGGGACTTACATGATGTATTCCGTCACTCTGGCCAGTCCTGATATAACCATCGGGGATTTACATGATGTATTCCGTCACTCTGGCCAGTCCTGATAGAACCATCGGGGATTTACATGATGTATTCCGTCACTCTGGCCAGTCCTGATATAACCATCGGGGATTTACATGATGTATTCCGTCACTCTGGACGCTTATACTAAAATCGTTGGGATTTACATGATGTATTCCGTCACTCTGGCCAGTCCTGATAGAACCATCGGGGATTTACATGATGTATGCCGTCACTCTGGCCAGTCATGATAAAACCATCGGGGATTTACATGATGTATTCCGTCCCTCTTGCCAGTCATGATAAAACCATCGGGGATTTACATGATGTATTCCGTCCCTCTTGCCAGTCATGATAAAACCATCGGGGATTTACATGATGTATTCCGTCACTCTGGCCAGTCCTGATATAACCATCGGGGATTTACATGATGTATTCCGTCACTCTGGACGCTTATACTAAAATCGTTGGGATTTACATGATGTATTCCGTCACTCTGGCCAGTCATGATAGAACCATCGGGGATTTACATGATGTATTCCGTCACTCTGGCCAGTCATGATAAAACCATCGGGGATTTACATGATGTATTCCGTCCCTCTGGCCAGTCATGATAAAACCATCGGGGATTTACATGATGTATTCCGTCCCTCTTGCCAGTCATGATAAAACCATCGGGGATTTACATGATGTATTCCGTCACTCTGGCCAGTCATGATAGAACCATCGGGGATTTACATGATGTATGCCGTCACTCTGGACGCTCATACTAAAATCGTTGGGATTTACATGATGTATTCCGTCACTCTGGCCAGTCATGGTGTGTGTGTGTGTGTGTGTGTGTGTGTGTGTGTGTGTGTGTGTGTGTGTGTGTGTGTGTGTGTGTGTGTGTGTGTGTGTGTGTGTGTGTGTGTTTGGGTGTAGGTGTAGGTTTTTGTGTGGGTTTGGATGTTGGTGTTAGTGCGTAGGTGTAGGTGTAGGTGTAGTTATACGTGCGTGATAGATGCGTGTGCTTGGTGTAGGTGTGGGGTGTATGTGTTGGGTGTAGGTGTGGATTATGCGGGTGCATGCGTGTGTGTGTGTGTGTGTGTAGTGGGTGTGAATGTGTGTGTTTGTATGTGTCTGTGTGAGTGTGGGTGTGTGTGTGAGTATGGGCGTGTGTCAATGTAGGTTTGGGTTTGGGTTTGGGTGTGAGATGCCACGCTATTTAAGTGACACGTATTCAATTATTAATCTACTAGGATTTACATGATGTATTCAACCACTTTGACTGACCATAGTGAAAACGTCAGTATTTACATCATGTATTCCATCACTCTGGCCGGTCATAGTTAAACCATCTGAATTTACATAAGGTATTCCGTCACTCGTGCTGGTCACAGTAAAAACGTCAGGATTTACATGAAGTATTCCGTCACTCCGCTGGTCATGAAAGAAAGATGATATATATAATGTGTTACGCCCCTCCGACAGGTCATAGTAAAACGGTAGTGTGTATTATAACTCTGGAAAGTACAAGGTTATAGCATTAGTATTTACATGATGTATATCGTCACTCGATTTTGGATTCGAAACGTGGATCGGCAGATACCGCCAGCTAGAGGTTTCACTGCATTTCAACATTTGTCTCGTAATAGAAAGAGTCAAATGATTATGTGATCTTCAACCTCTTACCCATAAGAGGTATCAGTAATATTTACCGTAGCACATATAATAAAAACATAGAGCAATACAAGCTCTGGTACACATGCATACATTCGTATCATTATATTCAAGTTGAGTTGTTGCTACCCATGATATGGATCAACGCTCACTACTCTTGGACATACTTCAACACCCACTACCCTTGAACATACTTCAACATTGCTACCCTTGAAATTCTTCAACATGACCTACCGTTGAACATACTTTAACATTGCTACCCTTGAACATACAGTACTCCAACATCCACTCCTCTTGAACATACAGTACTTTAACACCCACTACTCTTGAACAGACAGTATTTCAACTTCCACTTTCGTTGTACACACTTCGACACCCACTATCCTTCAACATTGTTCAAGATCCACTATCCTTGAACATACAATACTTCAAGATCCATTATCCTTGAACATACAGTAGTTCAACATTCACAATCCTTGAACATACTACAACATCCACTATCCTTGAACATACGGTACTTCAACAATAGCTACCCTTGAAAATACTTCAACATCCACTATCCTTGAACATACAGTACTTCAACATTGACAATCCTTGAACACACTTCAACATCCACTGTCCTTGAAAATACGATTCTTCAACATCCACTATCCTTGAACATACATAACTTCAACATTCACAATCCTTGAAAATACGTCAACATCCACTATCCTTGAACATACGGTACTTCAACAATAGCTACCCTTGAAAATACTTCAACATCCACTATCCTTGAACACACAGTACTTCAAAATTCACAATCCTTGAACATACTTCAACATCCACTATCCTTGAACATACGGTACTTCAACATTCGCAACATTTGTACATACATCAACTTCCACTACCCTTGAACATACTTCAACAATAGCTACCCATGAACATACTTCAACATCCACTATCCTTGAACATACAGTAATTTAATCCACTCTCTTTGAACATACAGTACTTCAACTTTCACACCCTTGAACAAACAGTACTTCAACATCCACTACCCTTGAACATACTTCAACATCCACTACCCTTGAACATACGTTACTTCATATCCACTACCCTTGAACATACGTCAACATCCACTATCCTTGAACATACAGCACTTCAACATTCACAATCCTTGAACAAACTTCAACATCCACTATCCTTGAACATATTTCATCATCCACTACCCTTGAATATACTTCAATACCACAACCCTTGAACATACTTCAACATCCACTAACCTTGAAAATACAGTACTTCAACATCCACTTCCCTTGAATATTCTTCAACATCCACTACCCTTGAACATACGTCAACATCCACTATCCTTGAACATACAGCACTTCAACATTCACAATCCTTGAACAAACTTCAACATCCACTATCCTTGAACATACTTCAACATCCACTACCCTTGAACATACTTCAACATCCACCACCCTTGAACATACTTCAACATCCACTATCCTTGAGCATACGGTACTTCAACATCCACTATCCTTGAACATACGTCAACATCCACTATCCTTGAACATACAGCACTTCAAGATTCACAATCCTTGAACATACTTCAACATCCACTATCCTTGAACATACAGTACTTCAGCATTCATAATCCTTGAACATACTTGAACATCCACTGTCCTTGAAAATACGATTCTTCAACATTCACCACCCTTGAACATACAGCACTTTAACATCCAATATTCTTGAACACACAGTACTTCAACATTCACAATCCTTGAACATACTTCAACATCCACTATCCTTGAACATACAGTACTTCAGCATTCATAATCCTTGAACATACTTGAACATCCACTGTCCTTGCAAATACGATTCTTCAACATTCACCATCCTTGAACATACAGTACTTTAACATCCAATATTCTTGAACACACAGTACTTCAACATTCACAATC